ATGCTGGGGGCAGGGGAGGGAAATGGCACCTGCCAGCTCCTTTGTGGATGAGACTTCCTGGATGAGTCTCCCCGTGATCTCTGCCCCTCCTGCAGACACTCAGATAATAACTCTCCCTCTCCCGTTTGGCTCAGGCAGTTTCAAACTGCTCCCTCTACACTGTATCTCCGTGGGCTATTTGCTGTGCTGTCTCTTTAAGGGAGGGGGCTCAGGCCCTTCTGGTTTTCAAAGCAAAACGTTATGGGGACTTGTCCTCCCCATGTGGGCTCCCTGGTGCGACAGTCTGTTTCCCTCCCTCCCGTGGATGTCTGTGGTCTATGTAGCTCCGGGCAGTGTCTCTCCCTTCCCTACGGTTTTTGATACGGCTTCTTTCCTACATTTCATGGAGTCTGTCCTGCTGCTGTCCTTGCAAGTCGTCCTGGGGGCTGGTACGGGGTGGAGAAAGTTGTCAAAGGCAGGCAAACTAATACTTTTTACAGAGTAAAATCTATAGCAAAGGGCAATTTTGCTGCACTGATTTAACTGGAAATAATTTTGACTCCAGGCACAAACCCCATGACTTCAGGGCTGGTCAGTTACCCCCTGGGGTTTTGCCTCTGGGCCCCAGGAAAATGTCTCCGAGGAACCACTGAGCACTTATGGAGTCTTCCCAACTTCTGTTCCTAGAGGTATGTTAGAAACACAAATTCCCTTTGGGGAGAAGGTTTTTTTTTTTTTGAGAGAAGAAGTATGAGCAGGGGAGGGACAGAGAGAGAATTCCAAGAAGGCTCTGCACCATCAGCACAGAGCCCAACATGGGGCTCGAACTCATGAACCGTAAGATCATGACCTGAGCCAAAATTGAGCATTACTTGGAGGCTTAACCAAAGTAGCCATCCAGGCACCCTGGGGAGAAGGCTCTCCGTAGGGTAGGGGGTACCCCTTTACCAGGAGCCCAGAGTATCTTGGCACTCCCTCCAGGAAGCCCACAGAGAAATACAATACAGCAACAATTGAGACTTAAGGGACATTTATTTTTTTGAAAGGGTGGAGGGGACTTTACAAGAGAGTCTGAAGCCAATAACTAGAAAGGAAGATAAATAAAATACAAAGCCAGTATGTTGTGGCAAAATCCCAGAAAACACACTGAAAAAAAATTTTTACAGTTTAAAACTGTTTTACTTTATACATAATTACAAATTAATATACAGCATCTGGGTTTTAACCCCTTTGTATTTCAAAGAATCTAGCATAGAAATGTTCGTATAGCATCTGAAAACAACAGAAGCAGAGGTATAAGGTGTACGGGGGTCGGCCTCCTGCATATCTGGGCGTCCCCCCGCGCCCCCGGCAGGTAAGGACACAGAAAACCACAGGCTAAACCGTGACCACGGGCGAGCTGACCGGGCGGCTCCCTGTCAGGTGGCTGCAAGAGACAGGAGAGCTCAGGCTGGGGGAGTCTCTGGGGGGGGGGGAAGAGGCTTGTTAGCAGCTTCTGCTGGACAGCAGCGAGGCGCCCCCAGCACAGGCCGGGCTTGGCTGGGTGTGTGGAGCAGGTTGTCAGGGTCTGTGGCCGGAGGACTTTAGCCAGTTGGGTTTGCCCGGCTTTGAACCTTAGCGAGATGGAGAAGTAATTCAAGGCCTGTCAATCTTTGCACAAATTAAATTAGATGATACAACGAAAGAAAAGCCTTTTTTTTCCCCCTTCCTATTTTTTTTTTTCCTTTTATGGCAGCATGAAAATACTTTCTAACACCTGGCCAGCAGGTGGTAGATTCCAAAGGTCCTGGGTGACTAGGAATGTTAGGCTATGCTGGAAGAAAAATCAAGACACAAACCGCAACCCTCCTCTTTGTCTGCAGATCAGCGAGAACGACGCGCTGGGCTGGGAACCGGCGACCAGCACGTGTGCATCCCAACGGAAGGCAGGCAGGCCACACGTCTCTCTCAACCACTGCCACCATCTAAGCTGAGGGATGTTTCTGGGCTTCCAAATCCCAAGGGCGTCCGAGCACTGGCAGGAGTCCAGCACTGTCTGGGGTCCCCACCAAACCACCCTGTATATACGGTCACCGAAGCCCACTCACTAGAATAGGCTCTCCAAGCCCTGCGCGGGGCCTGGCTGCCCTCTGGGCACAACTGTGCACCCATCAACACCGGGGTGGACGGCAGCCCCGTGCAAATACCAAAGTCCTCGGGAAGAAAGAACGGGCTTCGGAAAAGCAACTTTAGAGACCAAGGGATGAAATACCAAGTACTTCTGTGAACGTCAATTCCTGGACCAAGTCCTGGCTTCTAAGGTATGATTTTCCACCCTTCACTTAAGGCGAAACCTGCTTTATCAAACCCCCACACACCTGCCCCCCATAAAGGTAAAACAAACCCCATGGGTCTTAAAATTTTGTGCTGATACCAGGGGTTAGGCAAGATAATGAGGGAGAACATTCTCGAAGGGACAACTTTCAGTGGTGCTACCCTGAGACGTAAGAGGGAAAAAGGTAGGATTCGTACCTTTTCAAAAAACAAAACAACCCCCCCAAACTTGATAAGGACTTCTGCCCCACAGACAGCTCTCGTGGGGGTAGAGAGTGGAATGTTGGCAAAGGCTGAATTATGGCAAACTGCAGGTTTTTACCCCGCCTCCACGAACATAGCCGATTGTCTCAAAAATGAAGCCGACAGATGAGAGCAGTTAAAGTGCACATGTCACCCACCTGGGATGACAGCTTCTGAGATGATAGAAGTTTTGAGAAGGATGCAGCCTCCTTCCAGGAAATTCACTAGACTCTGGGGACTCTGGATGGTTGTCTCTATCTGTCCCCCCAAACTTAAACGCAACGTCAGGCATCTGCATTCTTGAGCCTGGTGGACAAGTGTGGTACCCTACCAGGGGGACACAATGGAACACCGGGTCGGAGCCACCCTGGCAGACAACCCCTTCTCACAGGAAACGAGGGCTCACGACTCGGGCCCCAGAGCGGCTCTCCAGGTCACAAGCAGCAACAATCCAGGCAGTTCTGCAAGCACAACAACGTCCCCCGGAGTTCAGTTTCACGGGGGAAAGAGGAGAAAGGCACGTCAGAGCACAGGTCTTAGGAAGCAGTTCTCTCTGTGCTGCAGACCACATTGTGCGAGAGGGCAGGCCAGGTGGACGCAGGAAGCTACTTTCCAATTCTGATTCCACACTGGTCCAACCACAACACAACCGAGTGGAGTTCCTGGGGTGTGGGGGCAGGTGAAATCTGTCTGGAAAAAACACCAGCCAAAACAACTTAAACCTTCGAGCAGATTGGGAGTAAAAGGCACCTTCAAATCGCCATTGAGCTGGGCAGCAATGGACAGAAGCCCAGTGTCCATGGCGACTCTGTGGGGAGAACATGGGGAGGCCTGGCCTATGTGGACACAGAGCAGGAACGCAGGCTTCATCCGTCGGGGCCATTCCCCCCAGCAGAGTGCTTCTGGGGGGGCGGGGGAACGTGGAGCCCCACAGGGGAACCTGAGTTGGGGATGAGGACAGCCAGCCGGGCTCCATGTGGACTGGAGGAGAACCGTGGCAGGCAGGGCTGTAGCTCAGAGCTGTATGGGCTGGTGCAAGGAAGTCCTCTACCTTAGGGTCTTGGGCGGGGGTGAGGGGGGGTACATCGTAGTTCAAAAGATTAGTTGGTTTGGTTCTGAGAGTCTGTTTCTGAAGGCTAGATCTCCAGGACAGAAAGAGGCAAATGTAACCCACAGGTGGCATTTCTCGACTCTCAAGCAAGGAAGACAACCCTAGAGCAAAGAAGGGAGGTGGGGTAGGAGGAGGGAAGGACACGGACCCCTGCCCCAACCCTTAATTTTCTTTTGGGCCCTCAAGGCACTTGGACAGACACTGAGGAGTGAGCCGCACTGCTGGCTCATCAAGTTCCTCGTGGATCGGAGAGCTGAAACCGTTGGGCCGGTATGTTTACCCTTAACACACACACACACACACAAATAAATAAACAAATCTAAGCTAAAAATTTTAAAGCAGACCTCTTTCAAATAAACTGAAAGATAAATATCTCCATCTGCAAGGCCAGCTTGCAATTCATCAACAAGCACCAAGTTACAGATTTTGCTTTTCCAACAAGTATGTCCCAAGACCCATGCTCCTGAGAGGCACTAAGCAGGAATCAAAGGGCGCACTGAAAGCACAGACTTTTCTAGGCTGTCCCCCTGCAGGGAAGCAGTGAATCCAGCAGGCACACGGGCCTCAGAGGGAACTCTACGAACTGTCCTGCTCCAACCAGCTGGTGACGAGCCTCGAGCAGACACGGATCACCCACGGTGGGGAAAAGACAAAGAAAGACCACGCAGCATTTGTGGCACCTTCAAGGGGTGACCTACAACAACCAACAGACCTTCAGACTGGAAAAAGGTTTTAAGAGATCAAATTCTGCCGAGGCCCCCAAGACAGAATGAAAACGTTTCTGAGCCACACCTGGGCCAGTGCTTCCCTCGGTCTACACTGGTGGAAATTGCTCACACGGGCTGAACTCCTTCACCTGAACCTACTCAGCCGGTTGTCCTGGTAACAGGGGTGGGGACAACCTCGCTGCCGGAGCTGTAGCTTTTCCCTTGGGAGGTTGCCAGGAGGCTGTGGGTCAGTGACAACCAAAAAGTGTCACAATGCAGGAAAAACAGGAAGCCAGATTAGGATTTCTTTGGATTGGATGTTGAAATTAGATTTTTTTTTTTTTTTAAATAGCTGAAATCCCCAAATCAGGATGGTGCAGATCATGTACATATATATGCTCTTTGAACACATCACACCTTCTCTCACTGGTTTTCACAAACGTTCGCCCTCCCTTCCAAAATGAAATGAGAAATACATGCAAAAAGGGGTGAGGTGTGCACGGGGTAAGGTTCTGGGAAAACCGCTGCAGAGGACCGGGGGAGCCCCAAGTGCCCACACGCTACCTGAGCAGGCCGGGCAGCACTTTCATTGCCGAGCCGGTGCCTGCCACGGAGGGTGCCCGTTTCCGGCAGACCCTACGTGTCCATGCAGACGGGTACCGGGTACGCACACGGACAAAGTCCCACTATCTGCTTGTCGGACTGCTGTGTCCCCCAAATAAAAGGCAGGGATAACTTCAGACCTTATTTGGAAACCTCTTTCAGCCTTTAGGAGTTCCTGACGTGCCCCAAACCAGTGCCCGGACCACTGAAACATCCTCAGTGGAGCCGTTGGCTGCCACCAATGCCACCAGCCCCGGGCTCCCACCCCACCCTGACATTCGAGACCATCTGTTCCTGGTCCAGGGCCCTGGTCTCCTGGCATGGGCGTCCACGGTAGGAGAGCACACCCAGGAACGGCAGGACAGTGGGGAGCTGGCAGCCACGGGCCGGGACAGAGGGCAGGGTCAGCAGAAGATCTCTTCACCCTCTGTGGGCACTTCTGATGCGGGGCCATCTGGGAAGGGGACACAAGGTGAAACTTCAGAAAAACTTGGCCTTTTCATTATACTCCCTTTTCTTCCTCCCCAACCCAAGTTTCCACCCAGATGATGGCCTGGTGGGCGCCTGACCCCACTGGCAGGGTCTCCTTGACCAGTTCCGGGCATGAGGTCCTCTGACACCCTTCACCGCCTACTGCTCCTGCTCCCTTTAACCTGACAAAGCGTCAGATCTGTTCACAAACAGGCCTGGAGACAGAAACTTTTCTCTGACCTCCCACATAGGTGGGAGGGAGTGATCCTAACGAGAAGGAACAGAGGGGGGTTTAGGGGAAAGGGATGTGCAAACAGGGAGCCTCATTTAGGGGGATTTAATCCCAAGCTCCGAGCCGGCAGGGACATCAGTGGTCTCTCTGAGCTTCTGTCCCCTAGTTTCTCTCCGGCTGGCATCACCTACTTCACACACACAGCCACTTGGAGGATTAAATCAGATCTCAGGAAAAGCTCACCAAGTGCTAGTTATTGTATCGATGACTAGACTTAGACCGAGAGAAGCAGGGAAGACTTTCATCTTCACATAAGTGAGTTTCAGTCCCTCAGCTGGGGAACAGATGCCCCCAAAACGACACCCATGCTCTCTCCTTTGCACACGCGTGCACACAGTGGGTTCCCAGATGCCCGAGAGTTCGTGCCCCAGCATCCTGCGCAGACAGAGCAGGTGGGCTTGGGAGGTGGCAGTTCAGCTTTTACACACCTGAACGGCACCTTTTAAACCCTTCCCACGCTACCAAAATCCACCTGCCCTGCAGGATCCGGGGACACCATGGGCGCAGGGAGAGCTGGTGCATGCGACTCACCACCAGACTGAGAGCGGCTTCCTTTACTCTTCTTTTTCTTCTCCTTCTTCTCCTTTGGCTTGGCTAACCCGAACAGGCGGGCGGAGGCGGGCACGGGGGCCTGGCTCGGACCCTCTGCTACTTTGTTTGTCTGGCTGGTGGAGCTCAGTATGTGAAAAGGCCCCTTATCTTTGTGTGTCCGAGAGATGCTGTTCCTTTTTGGGGACACCGAGAGTTCTGAGTCCAGTGACCCTGATTTGGCTATCGCAGGTACAGACGGCAAGGGGGACTCCTCAGGATTCGGGAAGAAGGATGGGATCCTCAGCAGCTTGGTGTGAGGGTGAGACACCTGCACATGTTCAAGATGGGAGGTGTTAACCCGGGGCCCGCTAAGTGCTGGCGGAGATCAACTGTGGGGGTCAGCCCAGTGTGCACCCACTTCCTCGGACCCCTGGCACTCACTGTAAAAGGATTCAGGGCTTCCTTCCTAGTGCCCGCCCCCCGATATAGTACCTGGGTCAGTGTTAAAGGTACCACCCTTGATACCATTATTTTTAGCGCATGTACTTAATGTCCCCACCGGGAAGAATTCATAGTGTCTTGGGAGGAGGCAGCTCAGAAAAGAACTCCCATTCCCTGAAGAAAGGGGACAGCTGCTTCCCTGAAGACTGACACAGGGCTGTGGAGAATTACCTTGGGGCTGAGGGGTCAGGGGGCATGGCAGGTGCCAGGCGGGTGGGGGCTCAGAGGTCAAACCAAAGACGCAGAGAGAAAGACCGTCTGGTCTGTGCGCCCCTGTGCTAGGAGCCCTGATTTACTGGGATGGGGGTGGAATCCATCCTCGCCCTGAAGAGCAGCACAGAGCCACCGGTGCCCCCACCATACATCTGAGTGCCTCTGTGGGACGCTGAACTGCCTTCTGGAAGACGCCACCCGAAGTCCCTGTGGCGGTCCCAGATCCATCCATCAAACGCATGGCAACAGGAGTGTTGACAGACAGGAGGGTCCGTGTTCCAGAACAGCCGCTGAAGGCCCTGATACCCGCTGGGGTTGGTGTGCCCCTCTGCAGGAGGGACCGCCACCCCCGCACTTGCCTGCGGGGCTCAGCTCCCGCCCACCGGGCTCAGCTCCCGCCCACGCTCCAGACAGGGCCCTTCCCGGACCCCACAGCGCCCCCACCCTGCACTCAGGACAGGAGGGACCGGGCCCTTCCCCGACGCCGCAGCGCCCCCACCTGACAGGCGTCGTGCTCCGCCTGCCTCTGGCTAAGGCGCTCGGCGTCCCGGCGCAGCTGCTCCTGCTCCCTCTCCAGCTGCTTCTGCGCAGCGCGCAGCCTCTCCAGGTCGCACTGGTAGGCGCCCTTCTTGAACTGCAGCTCGTCGCGGTCACGGTCGAGGTCCTGGCGGCCCTGCCGCACGTCCTGCTCGCGCTGCGCCAGCCGCGCCTCGCGCTCCTGCAGCGCCCGCTCGCGGGCCTCCCACTCGCGCTCGCGCCGCCGCTTCTCGTCCAGGTGCTGCGCCTGCTGCCTCTGCAGGTTGGCCAGGTCCTGGCGCTGCTTCTCCAGGCTGCGCTGCTTCTCCTGCTCCACCAGGGAGCTGGGGCGCGACGAGCTGCGGCTGAGCGCGCGCTCGGCCAGCAGCAGCTTCTGGTCCTCGATGTAGCTGTCCTGCTGCAGCACCACGCCCTGCGGGGACACGGAGGAGCGAGGTGCGGCCGGACGCCAACGCCCCCTCGTTCTCTCCCAGTCGGGGCGACAGCCCTCCACCACCACCCTGGGCACTTGTCACCCAGGAATGTCGGCAGCGCAGAGACCCAGCCTCGCGGAACTGGGTCGCTCGCTGTTGACACGGCCTGGGGTGGGGCCTTGTATTTTGGAGGCGGGACAAGTAGCAATTGGGTCTGTTACAGCTTCAAAGAAAAGGAAGGGAGCAAAATTTACAGATGATACCCAGCAAGTGCTAAGGGGTCCTCACTTGGGCAGGGCTGCCCTATCCACACACCACAAGGAGATATGGAACATGGAAACTTACAATCATACTAAAGCTTTTCTGGACAGAAGACCCCCGAACCATGACAGTGCCCCACGTGCTTTGCAGTAAGGCTGTAACAGCACCTCCAGTCTGCCATCATCAATTCTATCTTAGAAGGTGGAGGACACTCCAGCCACTGCCTTTTGAAACCTTTCTCATCATGAGAGCCAGTCTTGTCTTGACAGAGGGCCCCACTTACCCACTAGCAACCTCCAAACCCCACACCAACAACACCTTTACGGTTCGTGTCAGAACAAGTGAAGGGATAAAAGAGAAAGACCCGTACCTGCAACGTGCTGAGGAGTTCATGGAGGTGAACGACACTCTGGACAACCTGCTGGAAAAGGAAGCAATGGCCACGTCACCTTGGGACCGAGTCTCAGAACCCAGCGCACCACGTGACGTCTGGCAACATAACCCCCCAACACACGGCAAGGTGCTTGTGTCTGAATGGGAGGTTTCCAGACAGAAAGCACTGGAAAGAATAAGCAGCTACAAGTGCCTAAGAGATACAGAACAAGAACCAGCAAACAAACAACCGTAGGCAGGAAGAACATCAGCGCACATTAAATGCATTATAAAACGCTGTCTAAATTGGTACAAAAATGACACACGTACAGGGTAACAAAACAAAGTGCAGAGCAAATCATGAGAACTTAGTATATAAGTAGAGTTTCTAAATCAATGGGAAAGGAAAGAATATTCAACAAATTGTTCTGAGAAAAGTGGCCAAGAAGTCTTGGGGAAAAACTGAGTGGGATCTTGGCTCACACAAAAAATATTCAAACAGATGAAAATGTTAAGTGTAAAAAAAGAACCATAAGGAGTTGTAAGAAAATAGAAGAATGTCTTCTGACCATGAAACAGAGAAAGAAGGTTTTTTGAAGAAGCAAAACAAGAAACCATAGATGAACTTTTAACGGTCACCATGTGAAATGGAAAAGAAAAAGGTAGGAACATACAGAACAGAAAAGTCAAATGAAAAAAAAAATCCTTGAATTGAAAAAGGTTCTTGGGCACCTGCATGACTCAGCTAAGTGTCTGGCTCTTGGTTTCATGATCTCAAGGTTTGTGGCTCTGAGTCAGGCTCTGTGCTGACAGTGTGGAGCCTGCTCGGGATCTGTCTCCCTCTCTCTCTCTGCCCCTCCCCTGCTCACACACTCTCAAAATAGATTAAAAAAAAAAAAAAAAAAAAAAAAAAAAAAGGCTCTCATGGATCAATGAGAAATGAATACCCTCATAAGAATACAGGCAAGGAACATAAACCAGCAATATACAAAAGAAATACAAATGGCCAATTATATAACCAATTAAAAATGATTCACCTGAAATCGAACAGATGAAAAATAAAGAAATCCCACTCAGACTTATGAAGCCAACAAAACCTTAGTTAACAACTAACCCCTCCCGGTGCTGGTGAGACCAAGCCTGTGTGGAGGGAGGGGAGCATGCCACACACACTTCTTTCCAGAGCGCAGGGCAGGGTGTGGAGGGAACAGTCACTGTGTGCACAGGGCTGTTCTTGCTGCATTGTTTGCAAAGCAAAAAAGTAGAGGAAGAACTAACTAAACTACGGTACACAACATAACAACAAGCAGCTGTTAAAGAGCGTGTCTGGGGCGCCTGGGTGGCGCAGTCGGTTAAGCGTCCGACTTCAGCCAGGTCACGATCTCGCGGTCCGTGAGTTCGAGCCCCGCGTCAGGCTCTGGGCTGATGGCTCAGAGCCTGGAGCCTGTTTCCGATTCTGTGTCTCCCTCTCTCTCTGCCCCTCCCCCGTTCATGCTCTGTCTCTCTCTGTCCCAAAAATAAATAAACGTTGAAAAAAAAAATTAAAAAAAAAAAAAAAAAAAAAAAAAAAAAAAAAAAAGAGCGTGTCTGTACAAATGTGCTCTGGGGAAACCCTTCTAAAGTGGGTTAAGAGGAAAAAAGGGCATGAAGCTCCTGGGGGGGTTACTGATATCAATTATACAAAACAATTTTTATATATTCACACCCACACAAAAGTACACGTTATGTAGAAGAAAAGGCTACAAATATAAACCATTTAACAGTAGTTACTTCTCAGTGGTGGGATTATTTTTTTTCCTTTTTTCCATTACTGGACATTTTTTAAGCTTTCTACTATCACCACATATTCCTTTTATAATACAGTTGACCCTTGAACAGTGCAGGGGTTGGGATGCTGATTCCCTCGAACAGTAGAAAATCCATGTGTATATATAACTTTTGATGCCCCCAAAACTTAACTAGTAGTTCAGTAGTTACCGTTAGTAAGAGTCTACTGTTGACCTGAAGTCTTACCCATAACATGACAGTCAATTAACACATATTCTGTACGTTATATACTGTATTCTTAAGAGTAAAGTTAGCTAGAGAAAAGAGTGTTACTACAAACATCATAAGGAAAACACATTTACAGTATGGCACTGTATTTATTGAAAAAAACCCCAAAACATCACATGTTAAGTGGACCCATACAGTTCAAACCCACGTTGTTCAAGGATCAACTGTACAAAGAGCAAAATACAAAAAAAACTTAATTAGCAGGCTTAGCGCTTCTAAAAACACTTTTTACACCTCTTTTTAGTTTATTCTTTTTTTAAAAAAAATATTTGTTTCTTTGAGAGAGAGAGGGAGCGTGTGTGTGCATGTGGGAGGGGCAGAGAGAATCTCAAACAGGCTCCGCACTGTCAGCACAGAAGCCCAACATGGGGCTCGATCCCACAAAGCAGGAGATCTTGACCTGAGCTGAAATCAAGAGTCAAACGCTCAACTGACTGAGCCACACAGGTGCCCCTCACTTTATTCTTAATAAACGGAGGTCATCAAAGACAGCAGACTCTGGTGGGGCATCTGCAGGGTGTAATCCATACTGGAATGCCCTCCTTCCCTGACCCTTGTCATGAAGTACAGGGAAGAAGTCACCGAATAAAAAAGAGCTAATTTTGCTCAAGCAGCAGATGACAGAGAGCGACAGTCTGCGTGAGAGGAAGCTTATTTCATTTAAGAAGAACGCTCTGAGGGGAGTTCCTTCAGATACTGCAGTGTTTAGACTTCCATGCCAACAAACTGAAAACATCCTTCTGTGTTTTAGGGGAAAAAAGGGGAAAGATTCCTTTAATTTAAAATTTTAGAAAAAGCTCCTCAGGGACTAAAGATCCTATGTTAAAAGCAAGAAGAAACACAGCCTCCCGAGAGGGACAGCCCACAAAGCCACTGTCACAGACACTCCGGTCTGCTTACACACGCAGCACACACTCAGAGCCACGCACGGGTGGCCAGCGGGGAACAGCATTTGCTGAGGAGCAAGGAGAGGAGGGGACATGAGTGGAACAGGTGCAATTCGGCGGCCAGGTCACAGCGGAACTCAGCTGAGGAAGGTGAGGAAGACTCATGTCAGAGGCTGCCCTCCAACGAGAGGCAAGCCACAGCTGCTTTCAGAGGGACGCACAGCCAGTGAAGAGTAAAACTCAAAGAAGGAAAGTCAACCCGAGTCTTCGCAGGACGGGAAATCAGTGCCCACAACTACCCGCAAGTTGACCCGCCATGTTCCACACTTGTGGCTTTTGGTGCCAGGCCTGTGTGACAGGAAAGGAGGCCTCACAGCCCATGTTCACAGAAAGCAAGAGGCTGGCTTCTCAAGGACAGAGACACAGACAGAGGCCGTGCTGGGAGGCAACAGTCTGGTGAAATTCCAGGATGGTGCCCTGGGGCCCAGGAAAGGCAGAGGAGAGGGAGGGAGGCGGCGGCCGCGCTGGTTAAGTGCACAGATCGTAGCCCAGAGTCAGCTTGTTCACCACGGCACATCAGAAGCGAGCATTCCCAGCCTAGCAATTGTAACAAAACCCTATTCTTACACGGAGCTTGCGATGCTCTTACCTCACTGTTTCTTTTAAGCATAAATACCAGGTTAGCATTTCCACCCTATAAAACAAAACACACGCATTACACCAAAAAAAGAAAAAAAAAAAAAAA